ATGTGTATTTCTAGCTTCTATCTGAATTGAAATTTATATATATATATATATATGTATATTTCTAGCTTCTATCTGAATATATATGGATATATACACACACACACACATACACACACACACACGGGTATTTCTAGCTTCTGTCTGAATTATAGTTTAAGTGAACTCTCTGTTCATTTTATAAGAAGAAGGACAATCCCCAAACCATTGAGTGAATAATGCTGGACAATGTCCTTTCTTTCAAAGACACTTCATTTCTCAACCTGTCTTTTTTTTTTTTTTTTTTTTTTTTTTTAAGAGGGAGTCTCGCTCTGTCGCCCAGGCTGGAATCCAGTGGCATGATCTTGGCTCACTGCAACCTCTGCCTCCCAGGTTCAAGTGATTCTCCTGCCTCAGCCTCCTGAGTAGCTGGGACTATAGGCACACATCACCATGCCCAGCTACTTTTTGTATTTTTAGTAGAGACAGGGTTTCACCATGTTGGCCAGGTTGGTCTTGATCTCTCAACCTCGTGATCTGCCCACCTCAGTCTCCCAAAGTGCTGAGATTACAAGCATGAGCCGCTGTGCCTGGCCCCGGCTCCTGATTCTTAAAGTTTATGAAGACATTGATTTGTAATTTATTCCTTAGATAATTAAAAAAAATAACATTGGTGAGTGCTTTGTAACTTTCTAAATTTGTCCTAAAACAATAATCCTCTCTCATATGTCAGTTTTTTAAATATATGTATGCTTCATTAGACAAATTGATCATAACAGGTATTCCTCATTTACTTGACAGATTTTAATGGAATCTCCACTGTGTTCCAAACATTTTCTTAGGAACAAAGGAAGTAATGAAATATAGCCAGTATTTGCCCTCATGATTTATAGTTTTGAAACCTCCTGGAGTATAGTTATCTGGTCTCAGACTCAGTTTTGAGATCTTGAGAGATGGGAAATTAGTTGTTTTGTTTTTTGGAGGGGGGTGGTGGTTGGAGATGGAGTCTCACTCTCTCACCCAGGCTGGAGTACAGGGCATAATCTTGGCTCACTGCAACCTCCACCTCCCAGGTTCAAGTGATTCTCCTGCCTCCCTAGTAGCTTGGATTACAGGCACCTGCTACTTTTTGTATTTTTAGTGGAGGAGGGTTTTCACCATGTTGACCAGGCTGGTCTCCAACTCCTGACCTCAAGTGATCCGCCTGCCTCAGCCTCCCAAAGTGCTGGGATTACAGGCATGAACCACTGTGATTGGCCCAAGCGATGGGAAATTAGTTAACCTGTATGTGCCTTAATTCTTCGTCTATAAAATGGAAATAACTCCTACCTTGCAGAGTTACTGTGTGTATTAAATGAGACAAAATGGAAAGCTGTTTTTATTTAGGCTTTAGAAATGCACTTAGATCACCTTAAAGTGAAAGAAGTTTTACTATAAAAACAGGAACCTATAAGGTATCTGGTTCTACGGCAGCTTGAAGGACTGGTGACTGGGTACTCTTTGCATTACTCACTTGTATCTGCGTCTCTCTGTGTGTCTCCTGGCTTCTTCCATTAACTTTGCTTGTTCATACCCTCTTCTCTGTAAATTTGTTCTCTCACTTGTATTTGGCTTCTGTTTCTTCAATCAACATGCCCCTTCATACCCCTAACTCTATCCTATGATTTCTTTCTATGCTTTCTTTCTGCTTCGCCCCTCACAGGCAACTACTTAATTTCATTTTTTCAGCTCAAACTTTCAGGAGAATCTGCTGGGCTTCATTTGGACATTCAGAATATGAACACACACACACACACACACACACACACACACACACACACACACACGGAGTATCTGGGTCCCACCATTAGGGCCCTCTGAATTATCCCTCCACTCTCATCCTGAAAACGCCTCCTGTTGACCTGCAAGCTGTTAGAGATGCTGAATTTGCTCCCCACTCTGATCTACTAACTCCAGAATCTGCATTTTAACACTATGCCCAAGTGCTTTGTGTGCACATTCAAGTTTGTGAAGCACTGCTTTAAACTGCTAGCACTCAGAACAGCCACCTATATGTTGGAAACAGCTGGGATTAAAAAAAATACAGGTACTGCTGCCTGAGTCTTTTCTCCAGAAGTTCAGATTTGATTTTTCTGCGGCGTAGCCGGACAAAGGTTCCTAGATGATTCTAATGCAAAGGTAGGTTTGAGGACCTCTAAATTAGTTTCTGTGTCACCACTGACCAGTTGTGTGAGCCTAGGCAAATTACTGTGTCTCTCTAGGCCACATTTCTCATCTCTAAAGTGAAGATAATGTAGCCTATTTTGTCTACCTCAGAAATGTGTGCTTATGAATCTAAGTATCTCATTCATCTCTTCTCTAAACCCATCTTTTCATATGTAAGTGGGGATTCAAGGAAACAAATGCATTAGGTTAACAGTGCATGGAACACAAATGAATTTAGGTAACAGAGCATGGAAGACAATGTTACCTAGCTAACATCATTGTTACTGTGTCACATTGCTAGGTACTGCTATCCCAGTTGACCTGTTATATAACCAAAGGTTAGAGAGATTAAGTAACTCCCTCAAGGCTCTGAAGAGAAATTATTCATCTGACACTTCTTAAAAACGGCAAGGAAGACTTTACTCAAGACTACTGCAGTAGGTGGGAGAGGCTGAATTTGACTCTAGAATACAACCAGGACCGGTGGAGATTTACAGCCAGGGGGCGGGATGGAAGGGATGGAGGAGAAGGTGGAAAATTACCAGAACGTGCTAAGTCATCGAGGGGGAGAGGGAGGAGGAACTTGCTTAGATATCAAGGGCTTTAGAAGAAAGTATCAGGAATGAGGGGACTCTTGATAAACTGGTTTATCAGGACTCTTTGTTAAAACCGGGCTCAGCAGGCCGAGGATGCCGTCAAGCCTAGAAAAGGAACCTGACTAAAGTTTGGTCAAGGAGGGCGTCTGGTCCGGCGGAGGTGGGGTGGGTGGGTCTGAGTCTGCAGACCTTGCTGACCCGACGTCCCCAAGGTTAGGGGTTAACAGAACTCATAGAACACAGTCTGTAAGTCGCTGTACACCCGTGAGGCATGCATCACAGTGGCCAGCTATAAGACTAACGGTTGCACGCCAGTCTCAATCGGATCAACCACAACAAATCCCAGCGCCGGCTTCCTTATCTGCCCCGAACGCTAGCTGCCGGCTGGGGGGGAAGAAATCCTACAGCGGACTCCGCGGGCGGGGCCCCCGCACCTGCCGCGCGCCAATCACAGGCCCGCGCGTAGGGGCGCAAGCGCTGCAGTCCTGGGCGGGGCCTCGTGGCTCCCGCAGCTTCCCCGCCCCGTCGGCCTCGCCCGGCGCTGATTGGCCTTCGGGGATGACGTATGGGGCCGCCTCGGCCTATGGTGGCGGAGCCGGCCGGCGGCTGGCGGAAGTGGTGTGGGGAGGTAGCCCGCAGTGCGGGAGCGGCGGGACGTGGGGCCACTGACGGGAAGCGGCTCCGGGACCATGGCTCGCTTCGCTCTGACTGTTATCCGGCAGTGAGTATGGCTGTGGCAGGGTGCCTTTCTCTCTCTCTTCCTTGAGTGTATTGGAGCTGGTGAAGGGAACAGGGGTCTGCCACCCTCTCCCCTCCCTACTCGCTCCGGCCCGGGAGGGCTGGCTGGGAAGCGCTTTTTCCGGGGAGCTTTCCTTGGGACCGTCTCCGGTCGCCCCTCGTCTCACTCCAGCAGCCCCGAGGGAGGACGGTAGGTCTTAGATAGCTTCATCCCGCGTTTCAGATAAAGCGAGGCCCCGAGGAGCTGGGGATCGGGGTTCGCAGGTACGTGGTGGCTGAAGGACAACCATGCCCACAGACTTCTCTGGGCACCGTTTTTGCTCCCCAGCAGGTTGCAAACAGTTTGCACAATTTCTCGTCCATGGCTGATGTTTTTGATGCCGGCTGCCTTCCGTTATCCTTTGTCTCTGCTGTTCTCCCAGGCAGTCAGCCCCCAGGCACATATATGAGACTTCTTTCTTTTCCACAGAGGTTACATTTCTGGGAGACAAAAGAGGGCCTCAGGTCTGATCTCAGTAGATCGCATCATCCCAAATAAAGATTTTTATTATCATAACATTACACGGAACTGAATGCTGATCTGTCTTTATGTCTCTTATCTTTTCTTATACACCCGTAATTGCCAAGTGTTAATGGGAGGTGAAAATCAGGGCAGTTAAGGGCACAGATTTTTCTTTTTTTGTGAGATAGAACCTCGCTCTGTCACCCAGGCTGGAGTGCATTGGCGTGATCTCGGCTCACTGCAACCTCCGCCTCCCGGGTTCAAGCGGTTCTCCTGCCTCAGTCTCCCGAGTAGTGGGGATTATAGGCACATGTCACCAAGCCCGACTAATTTTTTTTTTTTAGTAGAGACGGGGTTTCACCATGTTGGCCAGGCTGGTCTGGAACTCCTGACCTCAAGTGATCCGCCCACTTTGGCCTCTCAAAGTGCTGAGATTACAGGCCTGAACCACCGCCCCCGGCTAAGAGCACAGATTTTTCAGGCAAGATAGACCTGGGTTGGAATCCATTCTCCAGCTGAGAGCCAGGTAGTCTGGGCTTCAGTTAACCGACTTAATCTGACTGAAGTTTGCTTATAGGCAAATGATAGTGCCTATCTCACTGTTTTAATGTGATAATTAAATGGGGGCAGGTAAAGTGTATGATGCAACAGGGGAAGAAATATATCTGAGAAGTAACTTCTATATCTGTAAAGACAGCTCCAATAAAAGTGCAGTTGATTCCAAATACGAACGTATAGTTTATCACAGCAGCAGATACTATAGTAAGATACCATTTCAGCTTTCATGGAGCTCGCAAGGGACACTAATATGATTTAACTTTGTCAGTTGACTTAACTGCTATCTTTTCTGGCCTGTCCTTCCTTTATAAGAAAGATAATCTTGAGAATCCTCTAAAATTGTCCTTTTAGGATTTGCAAGATTTTAATGGCTGCCTTAGAAATCTAGCTCTTCTCTGTCTCTTCTCCCCACACTTCTTGGTTAATAGAATGCCTTGGGAGAATTCCTAAGTTACTAAAGGTCATATAGCTAATTGGTAGCAGAACAGAAACTACAGGGCTAATCACCCTTTCTTCCAATGTTAGAGCACTTTCTAGAAGGATGACCCAGCCAGCACAGTGTCACATGTGTAACTGAAACTCAGACCATCAAGGGGGTTCACGCCTGTAATCCTAGCATGTTGGGAGGCGGAAGTGGGTGGATCAGCCTGGGCAACATGGTGAAACCTCCTCTCTTACCAAAAAAAAAAAAAAAAAAAAAAAAAGCTGGGTCTGATGGTACATGCCTGTAGTCTCAGCTACTAGGGAGGCTGAGATAGGAGAATCACTTGGATCACTTGAGCCTGGGAGGTCAGGGTTGTAGTGAGCTGTGATTGGGCCACTGCACTTCAGCCTGGACAACAGAGTGAGATCCTGTCTTAAAAAAAAAGAATGAAAGAAAAATAGAAAACTCAGAAGTTGTAGAATATTTGGGTTAAGACAAGTAAGAAAAGTAAGATGATTCCTGTTTACATTCTTAATAGACAACAGTCATACAAATGTGGATTTTATTTCCTTCCTGCTGCTTAAGAAGGGTTTGATTCTGGAGACCCTCATAGGAATCATTTTAAAATGAAGTCTTAATGAATGACTATTTACCAGGCCTTAAAATCTGATAGTTTTGTGAGTTAAGGACTGATATTCTTGTTTTTCAGGTGAGGCAGCTGAGTCAGAGAGGCCATGTAACTTGCTTAAAGTCACATGGCAAGTTGAGGAGGTAGGATTTTAATCAAAACAAATTAACCACTCACGTCTTTTGTTTCCTATTTAATGTGTTAAAACCTGGTATTTGTAGATTACTTGAACATCACCAGCCATTTTTGAGGCTACTTTTTATTCTCCTAATATAATTGTGTGGAACGATGAGAATAAAATTGTTCTGTTTTATGTGTATGAGGATGGAGTGTTGAAGTAATTGACAGGGCTGGTTTGATGCTTTCCTGTCTGGACCATCCCTCTTCTTGCCTTCAGAGTTTGCAAAGCTAAAACTGGTGATTCTTTTAGGAAAAGAAGTGATTTTAAATTTGACTCGTAATCACTATATTTAAATATAATGACTTTTTGAAGAGTTAGATAATTTTATTGGACTTACCTCTTCAGGTAATGCAAAAAAAAAAAAAAAAAAATCTTTAAAGCAATTTAAATTCAACAGAACCCATTAAGAATCTTGTGCTGTTTCTGCATGTGTGTTTGTCTTTCTTCATACTTTGACATGAAAGTACCAGTGTATATCATTTCTAGAACAGACTCCCCAAGATTCCAGAATTCAAGTCTGTCATCATTGTCAAACTGTAACTTCTCATGATCTTATGGCGCAGCCTTGTTGAAAACTCCAACACGTATAGGTTAGCATTGCCATCACATACCCGGCGCTATTGAAGGCTCTGGTACCTTGAAATGTTATTTGTAGGTGTTTGCAGTAAGTCTCCTGCAAAACCATCTATTTCACTTCCAGTTTTAGGTAGTTCTTAAAACTAAAACTTTTGGGCAAACTAAATTTAATTTACTTTGAATGACTTAAAAGATGAATTAGTAATGTTATTGATAGCAAAACTGATTTTTCTTACTGTACCTCTTGGCAGTTACTTTTTGTGTATTGCTAATAATTGTTCTGGATCTTAATAAAGCAAGCAAAATACTATTAGGTCGTCTGTAACTTAGTACTTTTATAAAGCTAATACTTTATAAAATTTTAATACTTTATAAAAGTATAAAGGTACCTTGTACAGATACTTTATAAAAATCAAAGACAGCCCAAAGTCGTGTGTTGCTAGCCCTTGAAATTTCTTTTTTTTTTTTTTTTTTTTCTTTTTTGAGACGGAGTCTCGCTGTTGTTACCCAGGCTGGAGTGCAATGGTGCAATCTCGGCTCACCGCAACCTCCGTCTCCTGGGTTCAGGCAATTCTCCTGCCTCAGACTCCTGAGTAGCTGGGATTACAGGCACGTGCCACCATGCCCAGCTAATTTTTTGTATTTTTTTTTAGTAGAGACTGGGTTTCACCATGTTGACCAGGATGGTCTCGATCTCTTGACCTCGTGATCCACCCGCCTCGGCCTCCCAAAGTGCTGGGATTACAGGCTTGAGCCACCGCGCCCGGCCTAGCCCTTGAAATTTCTATATTTACAAATGAATTTATTAGTGTAAAGGAATTAGGACTAAGCTGTATTCGTGGTATCAGGTGAGGCTTTACATTTTCATTTACACTAAAGAATAACTATTTTGAAAACTTGGCCCAAATTTACACGAATTTCCCATTAATTGCCCCTCTTTTGTAGCAAGCTGAGTATTGTGTGTTGAATTTGAATTCCTTAAAAGGACTTAAGAGATTCTGAGCTTTCTGTTATGATTTCTGAAGAAATGCTGCAGAATATAAATCCGGACTAACAAGATAAAACATCTTTTAAGTGAAGAACTGTGAGATAACCTACAAAATGAATGATATATATTTGTAGGTCCTATAAATGACTGGTCCTAAGACTTAACATCTTGGCATAAGCACTTGGATTCCTGCAGAGTCAGATTTCTGTTTTGGAAATGGATCACACTGCAGATTTTGAAAATGAGTGGTGTTATTCCTGACTCCTTCAGAATACATCCCTCTGACCTTTTAGCTCTGTTCACCTCTGCCACTATCACAAGTCATACATGGTTAAGGGAAATAGATTAATAGTAAAGCTATTTTAGCCATCAACTTTGTTTTCCCATTTCCCAAACATACTAATTAAACAGTTACTTCAAGGATTTATGTAAACCTCTCAGTGAAGCTGATAAAAGCTATAAAACCAAATATGAAAGTTTTTAGAAAAAAACTATTTTTGGATCCCTGCTCTTTAATATTTATAAAGTGATTTGAAGGCAAAAAGGCCCAACAGCTAAACCAAATGCCATGATTGTTAATTGTACTGTTGTGTCTACAGCAGCCTCTCTTGATTTACGGCTGAATGAGTCCTTCATATCACAGCAGTTATGCTGCTTTCACTGAAAACCATTAGATGGTAGGGCAGTACTTTTATGAAACTACTAAATTTCTGGGATTCATTTTTTTTTTTGAGACGGAATCTCACTCTGTCGCCCAGGCTGGAGTGCGGTGGCACGATCTCAGCCCACTGCAACCCCTGTCTCCTGGGTTCAAGCGATTCTCCTGCCTTAGCCTCCTGAATAGCTGGAATTACAGGCACGTGCCACTACACCCGACTGATTTGTATTTTTAGTAGAGATGGGGTTTCTCCATGTTGGCCAGGCTGATCAAACTCCTGACCTCAGGTGATCCCGCCCACCTCGGCCTCCCAAAGTGTTGGGATTACAGGCGTGAGCTGCTTCGCCTGGCTGTTTTTTATGAAATGACATTTTGGTAGTATGATCTTTTATTTTAATCTCTTTCATCATCTACGTTGATTAAATATGAATGCCGAGTTAATCTTTTTAGCAAGTATACAAAAAGTAATCATCTCTGCTACATTTCTGTGATTTGTAAATACTGAGTTTTTTGGTGGCTCTTACATGATTTCTTGCTTGGCAAATTATTAAATTTCTCCTCACCCTGGATTTTAAAATGAGGGTGCTTCTTTGGCTTTGGCTGGAAATTGTATTAGCTGTGTTAAAAGAAAAACTTTAGACAAATTAGATTTAGTTTATTTGAACAAAGAAATGATTCATAAATCAGACAGCACCTGAACCACTAAAGCTTCAGAATGCTTAACCCAGCGACATAGGCAGGCAGTATTTATAGACAGAGAAAGGAAGTGACAGGCCAGGATTATAGGCTCAGTGCCTCACACCTGTAATCCCAGCACTTTGGGAGGCCGAGGCAGGAGGATCACCTGAGGTCAGGAGTTAAGACCAGCCTGGCCAGCATGGTGAAACCCTGTCTACTAAAAATACAAAAATTAGTTGAGTGTGGTGGCGTGTGCCTGTAATCCCAGCTATTTGGGAGGCTGATGGAGGAGAATAGCTTGAACCCGGGAGTTGGAGGTTGCAGTGAGCTGAGATGACACCACTGCACTCCAGCCTGGGCTGCAGAGTGAGACTCTTATCTCAAAAAAAAAAAAAAAAAAAAAAATGGATGTGACATACAGAAATAGCCTGATTGTCCCGCTTTGCTTTATTTGGACATGTCTGAGCAGTTTGCAGCCCGTAATTGGCTGAGACTTCGTTCTTATTACAGGAATATACTCTCCAATTATGTTGTAGTTTGCTTACATATTAAGTCAGGTGGTAGCTCCCTAGGCATGGAGGCAGTTTTAGGCCAGGTTTAATTTAAAGGCTACAAGCCACTGTCTAACGAGGATGTTACTTGTATTGAAATAACAGGTATTTTATTCTCGGTCTCAGCAAGATTTTGAGGCTAAGACAGGAAGTGAATCTAATACATGGTAACTATTTCTAGATTAAAAATGACAGATTTCCCATCTTTGCCCTGGTTGCTTCTGCTTTAGCCGTCTGAATGGTAGAGGTTAATATTCTCTTTCATGACCCTTTTATGAGATTCTGAATGAATTTTGGAGTGTAGGAAATCTTTTTTTTTAGACAAAGTCTCGCTCTTGTTGCCCAGGCTGATGTGCAGTGGCGCGATCTTGGCTAACTGCAACTTCTGCCTCCTGGATTTAAGTGATTCTCCTGCCTCAGCCTCCTGAGTACTTGGATTATAGGTACCTGCCACCACACCCGACTCATTTTTGTATTTTTAGTAGAGATGGGGTTTCACCATGCCAGGCTGGTCTCAAACTCCAGGCTGGTCTCAGTGATCTGCCCTCCATGGCCTCCTAAAGTGCTCGGATTACAGGTGTGAGCCACGGCACCCAGCCTAGGAACTCTTTTATTGATATTAACAACAATGATAGTGGCAAATCAGTGATGTTGGTTTTTACCAAGGTATACATAGTTCTGTGAAATTTTATTTCTTTATCATACATTCATTTTTAAGCTAACACATCCACATGTTTAGAAATCAAAACAATTATCCCTAGTCTTCCTGTTCTCCCCCCAACCAATAAGTGATCATATTTATTAGTTTCATGTTTATCCTTCCGTTGTTTCTTTGTGCAGATCCAGATGTTTATTTCCCTCCTCTCTAGAAAGGTAGCTTTCTTTTTATATTATTCTATACCTTGCTTTTTCTACTTAATCATATATCTTGGTGAGCATTCTGTATCTTTACATATAATCTCTCTCTTCAAAGGACACATTTACATAGGATTTTATTAGGTAGATATATCACTGTTTATTGGTTGATATAAATAATGGCTCTGGCCATAGTTAAGGAAATGAGTTTCCTTGTTAATGGACATTTGGGTTATTTATAATCTGTTGCTACTAGAAATAATACTGTAGTTAATGATCTTTTTTTGTGTATAAGACAGCGTCTCTGTCTGTCACCCATGCTGGAGTGCAGTGGTATGATCACGGCTCACTGCAACGTCTGTCTCCCTGGTTTAAACAATTCTCCTGCCTCAGTCTCCCGAGTAGCTGGCATTACAGGTGCCTGCCACCATGCCCGGCTAATTTTTGTATTTTTATTAGAGACATGGTTTCACCATGTTGGCCGGGCTGGTCTCGAACTCCTGACCTCAAGTGATCCATGCTCACCTCGACTTCCCAAAGTGCTGTGATTACAGGCATGAGCCACCACACCCAGCTGCAAACGATCTTTTCAATATGAGTGAATTCAGTTATTCCGAGTAATTGGGTTATTGGATAAAAGGGTAAACACATTTGTCATTTTGATAGGTATTTCCAGATGACCCTCCATAGGCAAAAGTACATTCACTGAAGTTCCGTCACATCCTAGGATTTTCTCCGGGCCCTGGGCATGTTAAGGGTATGCAATCTCTGGTTGTACCTTTAAGGAAGTGGAGCCAGGATAGACACACAGCTAAAAAGTCAATTAGCACAGAGATGATAGCTTATGTTGGTAGTGCCAGTGGACAATGGGAGCATAGAGTGTGGGAATTAAATAGAACAGGTAGATGGAGAATGGTACCAAGGAGGGAGACTACTTGAAAGAACTGGTCTTGGGCTGGGTCTTAAAGAACATTCATATTGGCCAAATCCAGCAATCTGTGTCTTGGCAGACATTGGGACACAGCTGTTTCTGTGAACAAGGGACAGGATTCCAGGCCAAGGCCTGAGTTTATGATTCTGACTTTTAGATCTGGTAGATTTTTTTTCTAGATCTGAGTAAATCAATCCTCTGTGACATTTTAATTATTATTATTGTAAACTAGTGCTTCAAGTGAGGTGAATTGTTACCAGGTACCAGACTGGCACAAATTAAAGAAACTTGACATCACTGAGTCTTGTTGAGGGTGGTAACTACTGGGTGGTGTAACTTGTTATGACAATTTGGCATTAACTAATAAAAACTGGGTATTTGCATACCTTATGGCCCAGCAATTCTAGTGAGTAGGTTGGGTCAGCAAACATTTAATCAGCGCTCAAAGAAACTTCAACTGAATTCTCCTTGACCCTACTTTTCATGTATTTGACCATTGCATCTATCGTCAATCTATCCTGCCATCTAGTCTCGCCCATGCACTTCCCGCCCTTTTCCCCCTCCAACCTCAGTAACCCCAGTTACTTTGTGACCGAGTTTCATGTTTTACCCTTCTGGTTGCTTCAGATTGTTTTGATTTGCTCTGGTATTTTAGTTTTCAAAAGAGTGGTACTCAAACCTCACTTCAGTGTGCAGTTGGTCTGCAAGATCGCCCTCAGGACTACAAAAAGTAACTGCTGAAGAAGTAGGAACTAAGAGAAGGCGGGGGGTTCTGAAGGTCTGTGCACTTCTCTCTCATTCCATTCAGATTCTCTTTCATTTGCTCATTCAGTCCAGCAATGAATGGACTGACCCTCACACTTTTGGTCCTGCTGCCAGTGAGAGTAGTTTTGATCAATATATTTATTTTAACAAGATTATTTGGCTAGAATGGTGTTTGTGTTATATTTTTTAGTAGGATTTTCCACCTGCAATTCACTTAAGATAGATTCCTGATCTATGCATTTTAGTTCGGAGTAGTTTGAAATTCTTAGCTCTTCATTAGGGAAGATAATTGCAAATATTAGTTTAAATTGTTATTACAGGTTGGATTATGAAGTGTGTTACAAGTTTCATATGATACTTTTATGAATATCACTGTACTTCGTTGCTGACTTTTTTCCTCCTCTCAAAAATAGCATAATTTGGTTAATAAGGTTCTCTTTCTCTTTCTATTTTAGTGGAGAAACAAGATTTAACAAGGAGAAAATTATTCAAGGTTGGTATAATCCGATTGTTATTTTAGCTCTCATTCTGAGAGCTAAAATATGTTAATATGATTTGTGAGTTAAGCAGATTTGGCGGGGTAGGGGTAGAGTGAGGGCAGTACTCCATCGTGAATTGGGATTGCAGAATCAAAGCATCATCACCACAGAAATATGACCAGGGCAGTTAGTAACCCGTAGGACTAAATCTCTCAACTGGGTGTAAAGTACCGTTCTCCAAATTATTCTTTACGTGTAACTTCAAAGTGGCTCTGTCCGCTGATTATATTGGGTCTGGGTGTCTTAAGATATAAATGTCTGGGGCCGGGTGCGGTGGCTCAAGCCTGTAATCCCAGCACTTTGGGAGGCCGAGGCGGGTGGATCACGAGGTCAAGAGATCGAGACCATCCTGGTCAACACGGTGAAACCCCGTCTCTACTAAAAATACAAAAAATTAGCTGGGCATGGTGGCGCGTGCCTGTAATCCCAGCTATTCAGGAGGCTGAGGCAGGAGAATTGCCTGAACCCAGGAGGCGGAGGTTGCGGTGAGCCGAGATCGCGCCATTGCACTCCAGCCTGGGTAACGAGCGAAATTCAGTCCCAAAAAAAAAAAAAGATGTCTGGATTTGAAATTATTTTATATTTGGAAACATGAAGTTTTACTGATGGGTGTTAATGGTATTTTTTCTGCTAAGATAGTTATTTTAATTTTAGTAGTAATAAAGATTTAAAAAAAGAACTATCGTCACATGTGGTTGTTACTTCATTCTGAAGAGATTGTTTCTCTCTTTTTCTGTTAATTTGGACTCGGATCTTTTATTTGCCCTGTGATCCAGCTAGTCGGGCTTTTTAAGAATATCTTGGGTGAACTTTTGGCTAGACATACTATTTCTGTGCTGTGATTATAAAAGCAGTTAGTTTTATTTTTTTTTGTTAGGGACTTCTGGAGTTTACAAAAACTGATTTTCATACTGTGTGTGCCAGACTCCCTTTTATGGACACTAACTGGTCTGATTCTTAAAGGAAAATTTGTTTTCAGAGGTCACATGCTCCACTAGGCTGTCCTTTGGATTGAAGCCTCTTTCCACCTGGCCTTTAGCATTGCTCATTTCTCTTATTTCCTAAGATACTGACAACAGAACGTCAAGAAAAGCTTTTGTGTTCACATTTGTTTTTAGGTTTATTTTGTCTTCTTTTTCTGACCCTGTCAGTTGGATGCTTAGTTCTTTAAGTTACAGCCTTTTGTGTGTAAGCATTCAAGGCTTATATATTTGTTTCTTTCTTTTTTTTTTTCCGAGACAGGGTCTCACTCTGCCACCGAAGCTGGAGTGCAGTGGTGCAATCTCTGCTCCCTGCAACCTCCACTTCCTGGATTAAGCGATTCTTCTGCCTCAGCCTCCTGAGTAGCTGGCATTACAGGCATGTGCCACCACGCCTGGCTAATTTTTGTATTTTTGGTAGAGATGGCGTTTCGCCATGTTGGCTAGGCTGGTCTTGAGCTCCTGACCTCAGGTGATCTGCCCACCTCGCCCGGCCTCAACGCTTATATATTTCTAAGTACCGTTTTTGTTTGCATGCCCACAGTTTTGACAGGTGGTAATGTGGTAAGCATTCAGCACCAATATTTTAAATTCCTATTATGAGTGACTTCCATTGTAAATGCTTTTGTGTCCTGACAGTATGGTTTGAGACACTTCTTTGAAATGTGTAAATATGGTCAGTTTTTAGAATTCTTCCATTGTATGCTACAGAAAAATCTATAATCCCTCATTGTTGGAACTGGAGTTATATATCAAACAATCAAAAAATCAACCTTCTTGATTTTATTTTTCAAATCTTACATACTTTATTAATTTTATAAATGTACTAGTTTGCCTGCATGTCCTAAATATCAATTTGTAAGTGCAGTGTTTGTAATTTCCTGCTGTGGCGGCCAGTTTGCCTTTTAATACTTGAAATTCTATCCATTTTTGATTTATATTTTCTACTTTCATGTAGATTGAGGTTATTTTATTAGGCATATACAAATTTAAATGATTGCATCTTCTTAGTAAATTGGATCATTGATTTTTTTTTTTTTTTTTTTTTTTTTTTTTTTTTTTTTATATAATCTTTTTTTTTTTTTTTTTTTTTTTTTTTTTTTTGTATAGTAGTTCCCAAATCC